AACTTACTTACACTCTAGTCCTCGCCTTAGTCAGTATACAATTTTTATAGCTAAATATCTTAATGCCTAGACCCCTAGTCGACTTTTCAACAATGGCATCTTATAGAGAATTAAGTAAGCTATCTGATGAAGGTGCGCTTAAAGGTGCGCTTAAAGTTACCATATTTAAATCAAGCATGTTACGATACTTTATAGTAAATTAAGGTCCCTAGTTCGGCTGCTCTAGTATATATGCTTTGCATATTTTTTTTAAGCGTCTTCCTTATTTAGTTCTTTATTCCCTCGCTATTAGAGTAAACAATAATAATTAGGTTAAGTAGATCTTCTATATTCTATTTAAGTATTCCCACTTACGAGGCTTAATCCAATACATTATACTGATAGTATAACGGTAGCGTTTTCTAGTTCTAGTTTTCTTAATACCGAGCGTAAAAGAATACCTAATAAATTGCCTAATATCGTAATTAATAGCTTATAACTATTATAGCATATATGCTATATACTAAATAAGTAAATACCCTAAAATAAGTTCTTAGTACTTTAAATATAGCCATGCTTTTAGTATCGAAAAAAGTTTATATAAAGTTTAGGGTTATAGTCATGTACTAACCATACTTGAGGAATAGAGATTTAACATCGAAGGTGTCTAGATCGACTAGGTTTTCCTAAATCTATTGATAAATTCATATAAAATAAAACTTTTAAAACCGCAAATAATAACAATGCCGGTCGAACTAACGACTCTTCTAGTACGATACGTGCTAGCATAGTAGGAGCTCATGATATAAAGAATTTAATAGGTGAAATAGTGGCCAATTGCTATGTCGTGTGCTTAACTGTCTATAATACGCGTGACCATTATGAGAGCCTAAATTATTTACGTCCAGACTCTAGTCTAGCACTCCTAGGAATTTTAGTACCTATACTAGGCGCTATCTCTATTAGATAGCCCCCTGATATCCTACGTAGTCCTATTAAGCGATTCATGTCAAGATACTAGGTGCCCTTAGTCGGACTATAATTCGACACAGTCTTAACGCTGTGAGGTGAGACGGTATAATTAAACAGCGTGTAGCTACCCGAAAACTGCTTTAGACTTACCGCGAATAGGTTAGTTTTGCGGAGAAGGGAAAAGTTCATATTTCTTGATTAATACCCCATCGAACGCAGCTCTAATCCTTCCGATCAGTAGCATACAATATTTTTTGAAAAGAAGCTTTTGAATGATGTCTTTTATTAAAATATTTTTTCTCTTTATATTATCACCACTTAGGTATCATCACTATCCTACCGTTATTTGAACAATCACTTATTAAGGTCTTACACTGATTACTAAGTAGCGGAATATGGGTGCGACTTTTCGACTTCACGTATTTCACATGCGAGCTGGACACCCCAGAGCACCATAGTAAATGCGATATATTCTACACTGATATCTCAATAACCACGGTTTTATTTTAATTCATTATTTTCCAATAGCCTTTGATGAGGCTTTTTATCATTATATATTAATTTTGAAAAGAATTAAAGCCTACAATGCTGCGGTATCAAAAATTACGTTGCCGGGAGCTAGAAATATATATATCTCAATCATGAAGGCATAGAAATTCATTACACATCTCATGGAGTCTAGATAGCACCTAAGAAATATTTGTTTATAAGGAAAAGTCCCTATAACCTATGGTTGTTGTGATACTATTTTGTAATTGATCACATTTACTATGGTGTTTTGGGGTGTCCAGTTCGCTTGTGAAATACGTTATGTAATTATACGTCTTATTAACATATTTCCCGGTCGGGCTGCGCACCCGGCCGAGCTGCGCACCCCACCAAACCTATCGATTTTAAATGCAATTATCTTAACCAAAACGCCATTAAATTCAATTAGCTAACTTCGAGGTCTAGTAGGGCATACAGTCATTCTATGACCCTGAATTCCACATACACTACACTTCGTTTTTGCCCTCGTACGCGGCTGAGAAGGTGCCGGAGCTGGCCCTGCCTCGTAGGGTATTGGTGCTAAAACTGCTTGATCTGGCTGCGCTATTAAGGTAGAGGCCTCTAAAACTGAGAGGCCGCCTTCGATAGCTATTTGCCTTGTAGATCTAGCGTTTTTTCGCTTCTTTTTCTCGTTTTCAGCGCGTAATTCCTTATTTTCCTGCGCTAGTATAGTAGCGTTATGCATTGCAAGCTGGCAGCCTTTAACAAGCTGATTTAACGCGCGATCTGAAGGGCTCGGTGGACTTCGCGATCTTGTACGAAGTAAAGCTCTAATTGAGGAAGCTTGCTTTTGTAATTGTACGTAGTTCGAAGGCGTTTTTAGCGACCACTCGCTTCCCTGGCTCGAGGGGGGTGTCGGCGTACGAAGGCGAATATCAAGCTTCGAGATCACTCGATCGGGGTTATAAGGCACTAAACCGGCGGCGGCGAAGCTATTCTTAATAGTCTCCGATTTAAATGCCTCGATTCGTGCGGACGGGTAGGCTTCGAGGAAGTCTAATTTATCGATGTGGTTGATTTGGACACGCATTTTTGACTCGATAAGCCGACCGTACGAGCGTTTTAATACCGCAAAACAACCGATATCGAGAGGCTGTAAAAGGTGAGACGAGTGCGAAGGCATACAAATTGCGATAATATTGTTCTTCTCGCAAATTTCGTCGAATTTCGGGGTTAAATGACTTCCGTGGCCGTCGAGGATGAAAAGTCTATACTTCCCCTTCGTACGCGAAGAAGTAGACGGAATAAAGAGCTTTCGAGCCACCGAAGTCCAATTTGATCGGAAGTCCACCCGTTAGAGCTAACCTCGAGTCTCCAATTGATCGGAAGGCTATCGAACCAAGATTCGATAAAGACTTTGCCTTTAAAAATCACGCACGGAGGAAGCGCCCACCCCGACGCGTTTATACACTCGATTGTAGTCACCCACGCGCGATTTCCGGGCTGTAAAAGCGATCTCCGACCGTAGAATTCCTTTCTCGTGATAACCTTCGCGGTCGTAATTAAGCCCATTGCAAAACCAGTCTCGTCAAAGTTATAGATATCATCGGGATCGATACCGTACGAAAGGATAGTCTTTTGGACGAGAGAAAACCACTCTCCAATAACCTTTGGATCTTCGCATTTAGCCCGTTGATAATCGTAGCGTCGTGAGAATCTGCTAGATAGATCGGAATGCCTTTTTACGAATTCTGTGACCCAATTTTTGCCGACTAAAGTAGTCGGGGTAGATCCACGCGACGCGAGTAAAATATTGGCTATTTCTCGTACAGCTGAGTGCCGAGGGGCTCCTCCGCGAGAATCCATTGAGAGTATCCATTTTAGAAGCGATTCTTCTTCAATTTCCGTCAATTTATAGCCATTAGCGCGGGTTTCAGCGCGGTTTTTGGTGCCTCGAAGACGCGTACGAAGGGTTGATTCGGGTACATTGAAACGCCGCGCTGCTTCGCGTATAGAGGAGATTTCGTGATTCTGAATAGCCTGAATAGCTAATAAGATCCTACCCTCTTGTTCAATTGAATTTCGAGAGGATTGCGTGCGAATTGGTGGCATAGTAGGTGGTTAAAGAAGGAAGGTCTAATTAATTGACGCGTTTTTGGTGGGGTGCGCAGCTCGGCCGGGTGCGCAGCCCGACCGGGAAATACGTTATCTGGTAAATTTGATTATATATAGACTGCGGCATATCCTCTCCATTGGATATTGGGTCACATACCATATCCTCAATGGGGATATCCATGGATATCCACTTGGATATGAGGATATTTTGCGGATATCCGCACTAGCATAAATCATCTACTTGGAGGTAGTCATGTGCCTCTTATACAGCTTACCAATTTATTTTTCAGAACAAAAGATATACATGTTCGGTCATGACCATAATTCCGACCTTGTTTATCCTATTCGGCAATGAAATAATAAGAAATAGTCTTGTATTGAGCAACATATATCGCCTTTATCATTACTTACAGTATTAATCTCACTTTTAAATGTATTAGAGGATATAGGTGAGTTTTTGTTATTCTATAGTACTTTACCGTAGAAATATATATTTACTCTATATAGTAGTAGAGAATATTTTAGCTGAACTCAGTAGATACGATTGAAATCGCTGTTTATCTGTTGAATCTAATAAGCTCGATATGAAAAAAATGGTTTGATCTACCTTTAAAAGTGTATTAACTTCTTAAAGTGTAATTTGTATAACATTATGAAGAAATCTTGGTCGGAAGCTCTGATATTATAGACTTCTGATTTATTTTCCCTGAAATTAATGCCTGAGGATAATTGAGGATATATAGCGGATATCCGCACAGATATCCACGGATATCCACGGATATCCTCAATTGTCCTCAAATATCCGCACTAGTGATTAGTAACAGCCAATCATCGCCATTGAAAGTTCAAGATATGTGGAAAACGCGCCCGTGAGTCGTGACTTTGTTTGCTATACCCCTGATACTCCCAGCTAGTCTTACATGTACGTTTCTCTCTCTCTCTTTTTCTCTTAATGCCTATTCCTAGGTAACCCGTGATCAAGTACAATATGTCTTACTCACAGGCATCTCAGTCCCAGTACTCCTTCTACGCCGATTCAGATCTAGGTCTGAATCCCGACATACTTCATTCCGATGACATATCCGCTCTTATTAGCAGCCAGACTGTATTGACATCTGTGTCGCAAGTTTCATCTCTAACTGCACCTCTCTCGCTTCCTCGTGTTGGCCCCCCTCTTCAGCAGTACTGGGTCCTCTATTCCTCTAAGCCTAGTCGGGAGATGGATGAATCCCGGAAGAGCTTTGTAACTTGGTGGCTAAACACAGAGTTTGGATCAAAGCCAGATATACAAGACTCTATCCGTTGGGATGGAAAAAAAGACGTCTAATATATGGGATAACTTCAATCAAGTTGCACATGAAAAGACTGGCAAGCCAAAAGTTATGTGTACAACATGTCTCTGTACCCTTGTTCATCCAAGATTCCGCCGTGCTGGTTCATCGCCAATGAATGCACATATCAAGGCAGGCTCCTGTACTCGGAAGCCTGTCCAGAAGATTGATCAGATGCTCAAACAAATGGTATGTTTTTCATCTATAACCTGGACTCTCAATATCTCTCTTACTTATCTTTATATACTATCCTAAAGCCGACTTTCCCACAAAACCCATCCTTCTCCCAGGAGCGTCTAGCAAAAGCGATACTAGACTTTATCTCTACCGCTCACCTACCTTTCCGAATCATTGAGCATACCCAATTCAAGGATCTAGTAGAGGTTATCCAACAAGCCCCGAGCAAGGTCAATATCCCATCTGCGCGAAGTATGCGGCGTTATCTCGACTCCACAGTCAAAAGCAGCCAAAAAGAGATTCTTAGAAGGCTTCCAGATAGGAGTCGCCTTTCAATAGCCCTTGATTGCTGGACGTCGCCATTCCAGCAAGCATTTATGGCTGTCACAGGTTATTTCCTTGATCAAGATTGGAATTACTGTGAAGTTCTTCTTGGATTTGAGCATCTTCACGGATCACATACGGGTGAGAATCTAAGTAAGACCGTGATTCAGCTTCTGACTGATCATGAAATCACCGACCGCGTATTATCCGTGACCACAGATAATGCAACTAATAATAACACCCTGATGATGAATATCCAAGAGACAATTCAGTCACAAAGCCGATCGGATACGTTGATCTTCCGAGTTCCATGTATTGCGCATGTGATCCAGTTAAGCTTGAATGAGCTTCTTGGGAAGCTGAAAGTGACGCCACCGAATAAAGAGATTGAGCTGGAGTGGTCTGATGAACGAACCCATTCATTTCAGACTAAACAATCTAGCTCAACTAGACAAATTGCGGATACTCTAAAAAAGGTGAATTACTTCTCATCCTTAGTCTTTTAATTCATACTAATAAAAAGTCTAAGATCCGAGGTCTTGCTGTGTTTATTAATGCAAGCCCACAACGCCGGGAGGCATTTATGGCCCTGCAAACTAAGGAGCCTCGTTTGATCCCTATCCAAGATGTCCAAACCCGATGGAACTCAACCTTTATGATGCTTAACCGTGCTAAAAGGCTACAACCATTTTATGATCAGTATTGTACACATCATCAATATCTCCACTTCAAACTTGATCAAGAAGAGTGGCGACAGATTGAATATCTTCTTCTTCTTACCAAGCCTTTCTTTGACTTCACTACTATGCTATCAAAGACTAGGGATGTTACTACACATAACATCTATAGTATTTATAACAAGCTTTTCTCTCACCTTGATGAAGCTGAGAGAAAATTGAAGAATAAAGGGGTTATCTGGAAGAAGAGTATGCTCCAGGCTCTTCAGACTGCAAAGAAGAAGCTATCAAAGTATTACACTGCTACTGATCATGAATCGTACGGTGAAATATATGCACTTGCAACGATCCTTTGCCCATCAAAAAAGCTTCGATATTTTGCATCAACAGACTGGCAAGGTGAAATTGACTACGTCAAACACTACCATGGAGTCCTTAACCGAGAGTTTCATCGATATAAAGATATGCTTCATCATGATTCAGATACTATGGTCGTGCAAGATGCCACTGGAGAGGCCCGAGATGACGACTATTATGATCTTGATACCGCTTGCGCTTCTCAGAACCAGCCACAGGATAAGCTCTCAAAGCCTGAAGATGATGAGATTGCGAGGTATCTTGCCCGCGGGATTGAGAGACAAAAGCCCCGAGCATTCTGGAAAGAGCATGAGAACGAGTTTCCTATTCTTGCAAGAATGGCACGGGATATTCTTTCTATCCCAGCTAGTGGTGCAGGCGTTGAGCGATTATTCAATTGCGCTCGCGATATCTGCCACTATCGTCGTGGCCAATTGAAACCAAGTACGATCCGAGGATTGATGCTTCATCAGCTCGCCACTAAATTTGAAGTTGAGCAGAAGGAGTTTGAGGTTATAAAGGAGCATCTTTCCGCCGGAGAAGCTGTATTGTTAGATCAAGCTCGGAAACCAATACCCCAGCTTGAAACTGTCGAGCCTATTAGTGATAATGAAGAGGAGGAACAAGAGCTAGGCATTGAGGATACACAACGGATAGAAAGCTACGATGAGAACTCAGAAGACGGGGAGACTGATAATCGAAGTAAGCAACTACAGCTTAAACGATCAAGGAAACGATTATCCGAGGCTTCCGATGACGATGACGATGGCCTTCCAGAAATGCTAATAGATGAGGGCATACAAGGACGGTCGGGGCGGATTCGGAAGCAACCAAGATTACCTGATGGATTTCAGTTTGATCTCAGATAGTCTGCGTAACATGAATATGCTACAATTTTGTTTACCAAATTAAAATCTTCAATAATGATTACACTATGAGTACTTGAAAAATACAATAGAATCCGCATAAATAATGCACGCTCAAAAAGGTCATGAGTCTTGGCATGTTTGGCCTGTTTTATATCCATTGGATATCCTCAAATATCCGGAGGATATTGGGTTGCATACCATATCCACAAAATTGAGGATTGCGGATATTAGGTGACATACTATATCCGCAATCTGCGGAGAGGATATGTGGATATCCGTGGATATTGAGGATGTTGCCGCAGCCTAAATTATATAATTAGGGTTCGAAAGAGCATCTCTGTTGTCTCTAATATGGAAGGCAAACCTGGGCGGGTCTGTACTGCATGCCCCCAGTGAGCTCGCACTGGGCAGCAGTCCTTGCCAGGCTGCTGGGACGATGGATTCTTACCTTCTCGTGGTGTCCGGTGTATATCCCCGTTGGGGAGACCGAATTGAATCCGCCGTGGTTGTGCGGTCCGGCCCGGTGCGGGAAGCGACCGCACAACCACACCAAAATCAGGGGATAACGGCATATGAAAACCATCCGACTTCTCCTTACCTGACTCGCACTCGGGCCCGATACTGGTCTTGCATTACCAGTGGAAGTGGTGTCGCCTATGGAGAAGACAGGACACCCCTGAGCTTGCATACGGTCTGGGATCGCATCGTGCGAGATGCGGCGAGGCGGTAGTGAACCGGTGACACAGGCAGTCAAGCTGATATCGGACAGACCTCGTTCAAGGCCCAGAGGCCTCGTTAAGACTCGAACTCGTTAAGGCTCGGAGAGAGCGCTCGCTGGAGACCTCGTTAAGGCTCAGCCACGGGCAAGCTTCAGGGCGAGTGCTCTTCGGGACACGGGCACCACCGAGACACGGGCACCCTCTTGGGAGACACACGGGCAATCTGGAAAATATTGGTATTTGACTGGTGGCAGTCGGCAGGACTCGTTAAGGCTTCGCCACGGGCAACCCGTCGATCCTGTTCAGACACCGGGGACCAAGCTTGGTTAGTGGAGAGCAACCGACATATAACGTATTCGATAAGCGAGCTGGCCACCCCATGCGAGCTGGCCACCCCATCAAAAACGCGCCGCGTAATTAGACTGTCTCTATTCAACCACCTATCATGCCGCCAATTCGCTCTCAATGCTCTCAAAAACGTGTAGAGCAAGAGGGTAGGATCTTATTAGCTATTGAAGCTATTCAGAAACAAGAATTTAGCTCTGTACGTAGAGCTGCAGCGGTTTTTGATGTCCCCCGCTCCACGCTCTCGGCGCGTCTTAATGGCATCACCTATGGCGCCGAAACTCGCGCCAACAGCCATAAATTGACTGTTTTCGAGGAGGAATCGCTTTATAATTGGATCCTCTCACTCGACGATCGTGGAGCTGCTCCTCGGCCTCGTACAGTACGAGAAGCAGCTGATTTACTACTTAAAGCGCGCGGGTCAACTCCACCTATTACTGTCGGCGAAAAATGGGTCGAAAACTTCGTTAAACGGCACCCTGACCTCTCTACTCGATTCTCGCGATCGTACGACTACCGGCGGGCTCAATGCGAGGATGAAAAGGCGATTTTAATGTGGTTTAACTTCGTGAAAGCTACGATCGAAAAGTACGGCATTGTCGGCGACGATATCTACAATTTCGACGAAACTGGCTTCGCCCTCGGCCTTACGGCTACTGCGAAGATTATTACAAGGAGAACGTACGGTCGGAGAGCCGTTTTGCAACCTGGAAACCGCGAATGGGTGACCTCAATTGAAGCTATTAGTGCGGGAGGGTGGGTGCTTCCGCCATGCGTCATTTTCAAAGGCAAGGTCCTTATGGAGGCATGGTTCAAGGATACCAACCTCCCATTAGACTGGCGCTTCGAATTGAGTAATAATGGATGGACAACCGATGAAATAGGTCTTAACTGGCTCCAAAAGCTTTTTATTCCATCGACTACAAGCCGGACGAAGGGGAGGTATCGTCTTCTTATCCTCGACGGTCATGGCAGCCATCTTACGCCTCAATTTGACTCGATTTGCTCTCAAAACGATATTATACCAATCTGTATGCCGTCGCATTCCTCTCACCTCCTACAACCTCTCGATATCGGCTGTTTTGGGGTACTAAAACGGGCGTACGGGGAGCTAGTAGACTCGCAAATGAAGCTTTGCATTAGTCGTATCGATAAATGCGACTTCCTTACAGCTTATCCTCGGGCCCGGAGAGAGGCATTTAAGCCGGAAACTATTCTTAATAGCTTCGCAGCTGCTGGCATCGCTCCTTTTGATCCGAATCGCGTGATTTCGAAGCTAAATATACGCCTTATTACTCCTCCACCTCCTCCGAGTCGAGGAAGCGATTCTAGCCGCAATTTTACGCCGAAAACCCCGTATACAGTGAAGGGCGTACGCCGGCAAGCTTCCTCTATTAAGAAAATGCTACAAGAGGACCCCTCGCGCGCCGAAAAAGCCTTTGAGCAGATCGTGAAAGGCTGCCATCTAGCTATACATGGCGCTACGATTATGCGCCAGGAAAACCGCGAATTACGTGCCGCCAATGCGAAAACAACCCAGAAAAGGAAGCGTACGAGGAAGCGAATAGCTCATAAAGGTGGAATATCGGTTCTAGAGGCTATGTCAATAGTTTCAGGACCGGAAATAGTTCATGAAGCTAGCTCAGGTCGAGATGGAGCTGTATCGCCGACGCCGAATCGGACCAATAAGAGGAGACCACAACGATGCAGCCTCTGTAAAAACCTAGGACATAGGAGAAATAGGTGCCCGGAGATGTCTGAATAGCTTCAATTTTACTGAATTTATGTTGTGGTTGAAAAATTCAATAATAATGGTAGATTTAATAGGTGGGTGGCCAGCTCGCATGGGGTGGTCAGCTCGCTTATCGAATACGTTGAGATATTTATAATAAAGCTTTGTTTCACTCAATCAATTATGCTTTTGATAAAGCATAATTATTCTCAGGTGCTGGATCAGTTCTAGATGCTGTACCAGAAATTCAAGATTTTAGAAAATACAGTGGTTTGAGAGAATTCTTACCTCTGACATACTCAGTTATATTAACGTATTTCACAAGCGTGCCGCCATCTCCAAAAGTGTTCGATTGCTTCAAAAAATGCTTTGCGCTACTATAAATGCTCATCGATACACATCCACTAGCAGTGGGAATTAAGTTTAATTGTCGTGGTTGAAACATGAAGCTGCAATCTAACGCATTTACTATGTGTTTTGGGGATTGGCGGCTCGCATGTGAATTACGTTAGCTTCAATAAGGTTGATAGTTGTACCTTTCATGGCAGGACACAGGACTTTATTCTAAACATTTTACATGGGAATTTTTCTACGGTCAATTCTACTTAGCTAGTACTATGGTTTACTATATAGCTATTATAGGTGCTATGTTTACTTTATTAAATGATAACTTATCATCTAATAAATGACATGTACTATTATTTTGTTTTACCTAGTTATATTTCTTTTTAATCAGATATGCGCTCATAATGAAGTTTATGCTCAATACTATTGAGATTCATGGCGCATCCAGGCTAGATGCCTGACATATAAGGCATGAATCTAGTGATCAGCATTAGACCTACCAAGCAGAGTATGGATCAGGAGAAGGGTTCTCATTTATATAGGGTCTTTCACTTATGGAGAGAAAGATCAGATTTAAACAATCTCGTTGGCCTTGATATTGATGCGTCCCAATTCAGTAGACATCCAATTTCAACAAATACTATCTAATGCTCTGCCTTTAAGACGTGATACAGATATTCTGTTCTGTACTCGGAAAACTCGGGAATAGGTATCATAATCTTATTTTACTAAAACAAGAGACCCGGGTAATGGTCAAGACTGGTAAAGGCATAGCACTTTCACTGTCAGTGCGGGGGTTCAAATTCCCCTTAGATTAAAATAGATTAATCATATATAAGCGATTAGCACAAATTAATGTAGCCTTTATATAAGTTATGTTAAACAATATAAGTTATATCTATTCCATCTATACAATGCCTTCCCTGTTTATTATTAATAATTGCATTGTTAATATAAGTAATTATATTAGGTGGGTATAGTTCAGGCTATATGTGGCACATAATTCCATACCCTAGTTCAATACTACTATCATTATATAGCTATCCTTATTCCTTTCAAAGTCTACCTAGGTAGCTCAGTTATTTCAATTAGTTAAAGAAATGCATTATTTTTTAACAGAACTATTGTAGAACACAATAGTTTTAGATTCTTGTATTTCCTTTTTGCTTTATAGTAATGGAGATTAATGATAGTTCTATATTGAATAACACAATCGTAAGGAAATGAGAAACATATTAAAATTTGGTGTTAGTTTTAATTTTTAAATTATGAGCGAAAAGTCATAGTTAAATATATCACAATTAGAAAATAGTGCCAATTTTCTTTTTAAATATATAAGATTCAATTATAAAACCATGATAGCTTGCTGGTATGGTATAGCCTGTTAGATTTACATACATATATTTCTTCATTGAAGTAATTCATATATTGAAAACCATAAGACCATATCTTGTCTCAGTTAAATTTAAGTATAACTGTATGTTACTAAAGAATATTTCTTAAGGAGGAAACAGGTTAAGACACATATCGTGTTAGATTATTTCGAAACAACAATGGATTTTAATTAAGGAGAATTTGTTGTTTGTTAGATAATACCTTCAAAATTTAGTTAACTATAAAAATTTATAACGTAGTTCACGGGCGAATGGGCCACCGCAGAACATCACGTTAAATGCTGTTTTTGACAATCTTGTACCTCAACTATCAGGACCCGTTTAGATGGTAATCTTTAAGGTCATATATGGTTTAGTACCCAAGTGAAATTTAGGAGATTCTGGGGTGAAAATACACGATATATATATTTCTAGCTTATATGGCTAAATTACGACGTAATTTATGGTATTATTATTATGCGAATC